TATTAAAATTTTTTGCATTCTGCTGTTCTTAATTTAATTATTAATTTAATATTAATGGACATTATTATTATAAAAATACTATTAACAATAATAATAATTAAATTCGCTAGTATTCGTAGGATGCAATAAATTCTGATGGGGAAAACAACTGACCTTCCTCCTCGGAATCGTCTATCCGAGTAGCCTGCAGAGAACTTTGCTTAGACAAGGTCCTGCCATGAAGACGAGGCCTGGCGGGAGGCGACTGTTTATTCCACAGCGCCTCTAGCTGATCGAAGTGCTGCGACTGCGCTAGAGCTGCCTGCTCCGGTCCCAATCCTGAACTACTGCTCGTTAATCCTACTTTACTTATTTCATCCATCGACGCGCTCACGCTGAAACGACGTTGGAGGCCTTCCTCCACTGACGAAGTCAACGTTCCTAATGCAAAACATCGAAATTATTTATTTATGATTTGTAGAATTAAGGTAAATGTCCCATTTCCTATTTACGTCACAATTTCGACTCACTGACGTAGTTTTTTATAATTTTGTGTTAAAGTTATAAAAAACTTTTTCATAACACGAGGCCGAAAAAGACCATTTTCGGGGCCTATAANAACATCAACCTCGCCCGGAAAGACCCATTTTCGGCCCTTGGTGCACAAAGTACTATTTTCTGGGACAACCTGTATAGTCTATACATATATGACAACGTATATTTATAAAATCCTTTACCTAATTGTTTAAAAATCGTTTAGGAAAGTAGTAAGTACCTGAAGTAAGATGGCCATATTTCCTATGCCAAGTGTCGCTATCCAACGATACTTCTTTCTTCAACAATCGTCTATTAGGTCTCTTCGGTCCGGAGGGCCTCAAGTCCCTCGTGTCGCACCAGGGCGCCACGTAGTCCGGCAGTTTCACGTACTGCGCCGGAGTGTTGTGTAAACAGAGGATAGGCATGCACTTGTGCTCGAGTAAATGCAACGCCAGTCGGGACAGATCAGTAGCGACTTGTAAATCCAATACAGGGACGTGGAGCATGATGCTACTCAGGCTGCAACCCTTTTTAGTGTCCCAAACGATCAGGCTCTTGTCCTCGCTGCCGGAAGCAGCCAGGCTTCCGTCGCCCGACAGCTTCACGCACGTTATGTACCCCAAGTGGCCCTTCAGTGTGTGCAGGTCGCTGCCTGTGTTTATGTCCCAGACGATTAGATTTGCATCTCTCGAACCGGAAACGACTATCGATTTATCGAGAACGGACACCGCCACGCAGGTCACGTGGTCCGTATGACCCACCAACACCTGTGGATTAAATCTTGTTTAATCTTGAACAGTATGAACCACTGACTTATTACCAGGGATCTCGTAACTTTACGTGCACGGCTCGCTTCCCCTCTTTTTCGCCCGTATTTCGATCCCCACTACTATTCCCCTCATGCGTGCTCATGCGCGTTCGCGAAGCTCTCCGCAGCGCTACCGTGAAAATCACTGCATACCCCCACCAACTATTGGTCCCCACCATGGTCGCGTCGTCCCCACTTTCCGCTTGCACGTAAAGTTACGAGATCCCTGCTTGTTACTAGTTTTGGGTCTTGCCCCAAATTTATT